AAGAGAGAAACAGAGAAAGAGAGAGAGAGAGAGAAAGAGAAAAACAGAGAAAGAAAGAAACAGAGAAAGAGCGAAACAGAGAAAGAGAGAAACAAAGAAAGAGAGAAAGACAGAAAGAGAGAAAGAGAGAAAGAGAGGAAGAGAGAAAGAAAGACAGAAAGAGAGAAGAAGAGGAAAAGGAAAGGTGCTTCAACCTAGTGTTTCCCCTGGCTGGCACTATACCCATTTATTGGTGGTGTGGTTCCGATTTCCTCTTTCGACGTGGGTTGACCTAAATGTTTAGACCGACAAGCCAGAAGACAATTGAGCGCTGAAAGTGCAGTGGGCGAGCTCTTCCCCTGCGTCTTCAATGGACCCCTCGATGAACATAATCTACATTCTGATGACGCTTGTCCAGCGTTAATGTTTCAGCGGTCGCCGAAATCACAATCAAGTAAAGCAGTTGCCACACATCTTTTGGCGATTGCCCGACTCTCTTCGCTTCGCCACCCCACCTGTGTGGTTTCAGCAGAGTAGGCTCTGGCTCTGCCAGAGGAGGGCGGATTGCCGAAGAGGGCCGACAGACTGAGCGCAGGAAAGCTGTCTCGCTCGACTTTACCCTCCCAATGGAAGACGTCCCTCAACCAATGGAAGACTTTTTCTTCATACCGTTCCGTCAGCTTACATCTTGGAGAGATGCTTTTCGCATCTAGAACAAAGGTCTCCCTCAAAAGTTGACCAGCTCAAGACGTGCAGCTTATGTAAATTAGTCAGGCGCGTCGGCAAAGTCCAGAAACAAGTTGGGTCAAGAAGCAACTCCACATAGTTCACCGCCATGCTGACCTCAGCTCAAGCCACCAATGTGAGCCACAACATGGAACTGCCCAACAGCCCATACTGTAGGTTGACGTGTGATTGCTTCCGGGAACCTAGATTGTTGGAAAACATCAGTTTTGTGCACCCACAATTCAGCCGGCGACAAACATGATCGTTGCTGGTCGTATCTCAGTGCATCACGTACCAAACACTGCCTCCCTTCATGCTCCGTGGTCTTCCTGTGTTTGTCAGTTGTTCATAGCACGAGAAACCAAACCCGAAAACGGAGCGACTATCTGACATTCACCTGCCCTTTCCTTCTTGATACGAGTTTTCAGGGTGCAGGAGTTAGAGGTGACCTTTCCCGGCCGCATTTTGCCATCAACCCCTAGGGTCCCCCCTGCACTTTTTGGCCTATGTTGAATACACACACTAAAACAACCCATGTTCAACCTTCAAAACCAATCACCAACCAATGCAACCCCAAAAAACACATATAATATATCCACCTTCATTTATTCCCCCATCTCATTATCCTTGCACTCATTCAAAAGCAACAACCAACACAACATACCATCTCACGTCTCCTCAAAAAATATCACCCGATAAATACAAGCAACATGCCAACAAATGTCCACTCCCAAGATCACAACCCCAAAAAATATCAATAATTTCTTCCTTGATCCAACTTGAGAACCTTACCCATGTCCAACAAATAAGAACAGTCTAAAAACAACCCTGCGTTCACTTCCCGGTTAACCAACAATTCAATAGAAAAGGAAATCCTAAGGGCTAACTCAAATCATGTCGACAATCCCAGTAAAATACATTTGGAATATTGGATGCGAGACTCTGCCGAGCCTAAATGGTGTTAGCACAATCAATAAATTGAAAACAAAAGAGCATCAAACAAAAATATAAAACAACTACCAAGCAATGAAAAAAGAACTGCAGAAGCATACCACGTCAAAACAGCGCACTTTGAAAGAGATAAGCAAATTAAGGAAAACTAAACTAATATAACATGTATGAAGGATCAGTATATTATAATTACAACAAATAAGGGTGTAAATGTGATAAACACACTATACATCTATATTAAACTCCAGGGAAATAGTATCACATTTATTGCAATTACTCTATGCAAAACGTTCATAATATCATGTAACTATGTGATTGTTTTATTTACACTGTGTTTATGTATTTCAATGTGATTTATAATGTTTTTAGTTCTACTTCCTTCCATTTCATTATAGGAATTGCAACTATATTCAAACAAATTCCGGGAAAAAATAGACTGTCCTTTTCCAATTGTGTTTTCTTATTTCATAAGTTTGCATCCGGAAATTGATTTATGTTAAAAAAAAAAAAATATCATTCCTACTTGTAAGTCGTTACATTTATACTATTCAATCATGGTTTCAAGATTTAACAAATGATTGGATTTAACCTTTTTACAATCATTACAATTACGTTTATCCTTACCATAATGATTTATCAAATTAAGAGCAGTATTAGGCTTGGTTAAAATTATGCTTTATTTTTTGCTTTTCATCATTATTTCAGTTTCATGTATATTCAAGTCATCCAAGAATTTATCAACTATTTCTTCTTGCTCAAATTCATTAAATATTTCTTCACTAATATGTTAAGGTGTTACGTCTTTGCATGTTTTTCAGAGAACATATATACATAGAAATGTGTTTATCACTCTAATTAGAGCATATATGGTCTTGTATGTCAATTGCAACTTGATGAAGAAACCCCTTTTTCCTCGTTAAGCTAAACTCTGTTTTAGATTCATGAAGTTTCGCTGTTGGCCAATTGACCGAGAATAACCACAGGCTGCGTCCACCGCGCGGCACCTTGTTATTGAATAAGTGTAGATGATGTTAAGATGGGGGGAAGAAAGGAAGATGGATATGAGAATAGGTGGTTTTTGGAGGTTGGATTGGTTGGGTGATTGGTTTTGAAGGTTGAACATGGGTTGCTTTAGTGTGTGTGTGTGGGTATTCAAAATAGGCCAAAAAGTGGAGGGGGGGACCCTAGGGGTTGATGGCAAAATGCGGCCGGGAGAGGTCACCTCTAAACTGCTGGACCCTCTTGTATTCAAACGTCACGGTTTGCATGGTCAGGATATGAGAGAAATTGCTATGTGCGCGCGGCCGTGCTAAATTAGGGCAATGTGAGAGACTGCGTAATTCTGTTGCTCTGCTCTTCCAAAGAGATGTTTCATTCTGAAGCAGAAGCCTACAAGCAGACTCGTCAGCGAACAAGAGCTGGAAAGGGATACACATACGTAACTTATGTCGTTGTTCTGCATGTTCTTCTTGTCCCTTCAATGATCGCCTCTGCACTTGCTGGCAGGCTTCCCCGTCGTCATCAGAAGCGTCACTTAGCACCAGGCAGAGTGGCCGTCCATCTTGGCTACACTAAGCTTCTTTGCAGTGACGCTGGTTTCGGAACTCGAGCCAGGACACAAGTGTGCTGTCGTCAAAGCTGAGAAATCTCAGGGCCCAATGTGTGAGAACTTGAGGACAATGCAAAATGATAGAGAGCCGCGCAACTCGGTACTGAGACGGGTGGACAACCCTCAAGTGAAACAGCCCTTGCCTCTTAGGGTCGGGGAAGGTGTCTACCAACCAGCAAACACAACAATTCGAATGCCACCAGGCCGGGCCAAAAGATAGCCCGCAACCCAGTTGTCCAACTCGGCGACTGCAAAGCCAGATTTTTTGCTCGTCAATACCGGCGCCAACAAGCTGTACCGTACATCAAAAGCAAGCAGGGCACGTGCTGTCCCTGCTTGCGGGCCCTGAGTACTTCGGACAGTTCAAGGCATCGGACCCAAAGAGCCCTAGAACCAGGCACGAAGCATCTGGACGGAAGCGGGGCCGTGTAATTTGAATTCCTCCAAGCAGTGTCGTAGGTGATCACCATGTGCGACACGCGCCTTTGAAGGCATTGCTTCAATTCTGACAGGCAGCAATCCTCTCCACAATTTGAGAAAACGTGGCCAAATTGATGGATTGCTTACGAATTGACCGGCCTTGACACTCGCCACAAATTGATGGAGAGGCTTTATATGGCCCATCCGCGCCGCGGTCAGAACTCATTGCGAGGGGCAGGGTTCTGCTCCCCTTGTTACCTGCCCAAAGAGCAACTACAAATAAGAACATGTGTGTTGACCATGACGCATGTGTGCAGGGTGATCGATTGCACGCATACAGGCAGAAACGGACAGCCGACTGGGAAAGCAATAAACACATCATTCATACCACACTCTGCAAGACGTCTCCGCGCTGTACACCATGCGAAACACGCCTTTCGCAGCAAACGGTGCGAAGGCCCGAACCGAAAAGCACCGGGCGGAAAGATGAGACCTTCCTGGCCAGCGGTCCTCAAAATTCCATCGGGCACGAACTCTGATGGCTCTCGCTTGTTGGGATCTAGCTCATATGCTTGCACATCCTTGAAACACAAAAGCCCCACCCAGCCGAAAGCTGAAAGGCACAGAAACCAAGGCCTCCCCGCAATTCAGCTAGGTCAAGCAAAAGGCCCTCTGCTCGACGGAATTCAAAATGGCCAGGCGACTGGAAAAGAAGCTCTCACCCTGTGCGGCCCCAAATCCTTTTCATTCTTGCACTGTGCTGAGACTTCCTTCGGGAAATGCAACCCAAAGTGTCTTTTTGTGTTTGTCTGAAAATCGTAGCACCAAACAAGGGTGCGTTCCTTTTGTCTTTCCTTACATCGCAAACCACCAAGCGTTATGCCGAAAGGACACACCCACATACAAACACTTGTCCGGACTCAAAATTCCTCGTGGGAAAGCCCTTTCCGTGAAGTCCAGCGCACTGGAAGCAAAGCAGAGCTGGCGTCTCGCGAGCTCAGAACCCAGGACCAAAATTGCGGAGGCGTCAGGATTGGGTCCCTGTGCCTGGCTGATGAAGAAATCTTAAGAAACTGGCTGTGGTTGGTAAAGGGTTCTGGCATTCCCTGAGGACCAGCAAGTTTTCTCTCAAGCAAGCTTGCCACCGCATCCTTTCTCACTGCTGCAAATGATTGCCCAGCAGCCAGAAGCTCTCTTTACATCGACAAGTAGGAATCATGGAAACTGGCTGGACCTGCCCTTCGAGCTCTGCAAAAGCACACACGCCTTCAATCTACGGGCCCCTCAACCCTCAAAAGCAAAAAGATAAAGAGAACTGCCAATGATATCCGGCTGTGACTCCGTCTCCAGCCGTTCAATGGCTTTACTTTCTCTCGGCTCTGGAAGGGCATCTTGGTTCCAATGCAAAAAAGCCACTAGCTGGAAACTCAGGCAAACTCCTCAGAACCTGGCCCGATCATTCCGCCAAGACAAAGCGAATGTTGCGGACGAGAAGATCGGATATGAAATGCGCCATGCGTCAAGTGTTTCTTCTCAAAAGCAGCCTCAGTCCAGTTGCCGCATGACTAACTTTAGCGGTGTAACACCTCTCATAGTAGATAAAACAGATGTGGGCATAGCCTAGTGCTTAAGGAATGCCATTGTTACGGCCCGGGTTTCCAAGGTCAGCAATGTTCAACGAAGCTGTCCTTTCTAAGTCCTCCCGTCTTCACTTCCCTTTTGTCCATAGCCTGTGGCCCCACATCATGACGAGCGGTTCCCAATGCCCACCCTGATTGATTCTGCACATGTGTTTTTCCTGCTAGCGCCAGCCAAATATACAAGGAAGCAAAGCTTTCCTGAAATTGTGATTCGTTTAGCAAAGTACCGCCTGGGCCGCTAGAATCCTCGAGGGTCCCAAGTGGCTGTGGAATCGAGCAAGTGTTTGCGGTCTGGGCAATCATATCTGGAGCTTGGAGCTCGCCTCGATTGGCCGGAAGATCAATACAATATAAGACATGAAGCTTGGAACAGTTGGCTTACCTTTTTCCACGTAAGAAGCCGAAGGGAAACCAGCTGCGCACAATGCAAAACACAATGCGACTGTGGAAAAACAGACTTCATGTCTCGTGCTGCGCTCAAACTGTAGAAGTGTGGCTGTCATAGTTGTGGTTTGCAAAGAATTTGGTCCTGGTTTGTTGATTTGATACGGTAACAAAAGTTAGCCTTCTCAATTACCAAGCAGCATTTCCCCATACATTAAGCCAGGTATCTCGCCTCTTCAAATGGTCAAACCCAAAACACAAGGAACACATGCCAACTTAGTGCCAACTATGCCGGAATGAGACGTCCGCTTGCTTGGGCCTCAGAACAGACTGAGGCGGCCCAGAAGCGTATTTGCCTGCCAGTCTCAGGCAGTCATTCCAAGGACTCAGCTGGTTCATGTGTTGATTCTCATCCGCAGTCCGTGCCAAACACCCCTAACTCCAGTCACTTCGAGTGACGTCTTAACTGTTGCGCCTGCGGCGGACGAGGCAGCATGGATCCAGTAATCTTCCTCTTTGGCTTGCGTGCCTGCCAAAACCGGGGGCAAAGCAAACGGCAAAAACACAAACCACCATGGCAGCTGATGGCCTGGTACTCCGAGTGTGGCTTGATCGCACCGGGTGGCAACATCACCCGTGGACCAGTTGGTGGAGACAGCGCCTGAACGCGGCCCCAAAGGAAAACATCGGTGGCTTATAGCAAGCTTGGTTTTTGAGCTCCCACGGTCCGAATCTGGGTCCCCTTTCAGATGTGAAATGGAATCCACAAAGGAAATCAACCCATGCGTCGGATTCTTCGGAACATGGGAGTCCTCGCCTGAGGCGAGCCTGGCAATCCCAGCGATCCCACGGACTGTGGCGACGTGGGGGAAGGCGACTTCGGCGACTTCCCCAAGCCAAGGCAGGGCACCTGACGGGCGATCCCGGCTTTGGCCCCCAAACCGAGGTTCGTTCACATGCCTCCACGACCTCCGCAACTGGCAAACCTCAAATGCGGCACCCTCCCGAGAGGAGAAGACCACTAAAACAAGCTGTTGAGACAGGATGGGGCACGAACATGGCAGGACTGTACCACATTTCAACTGGAAGCGGGGGGGAGTCACAACTCACAATCCGAAGACTTTCCTCACGCCCCCAGGCTGAGTTTCCGTGCCCAGCGCGACCGGGGAGGACTGCGGGGATGGCGCCAGGAAACTCCACCGTTCAGCCTGGCCACGCTCCTTTGGTGCACTCACACCTTGGCGATCTAAGACGCCGGCACGCGAGTCGGCCAAGTCTTCGCTAGGCCTGGCTGGATTCACCATGTTGATGCCCTCGTGGCCACCAAAGTTTCAAGCCCCCTTGACTTTCCCTGGAAAGAGTTTTGTGCCTGCTTTGTAATCTGCTTATGTGTCATGGTTCCAGCCGGAAAATCGGAGAAGTGCAATACCTCCGTGAACACTTGAGAAGGAGCGCGAGAGGTGGAGAAAAAAAAACAAGGAGAAACTATACCAAAAAAAAAAAGAATCCGCGAAAGAGCTAAACAAATCATGCAAATGGCGCAAAAAACAAGTTCGGAAACGTCAGGGAAACCAAACACGGAACGAAAGTGTTGAGACCTAAGAATAAAATCGTAAGCAGAAAAGAAACGATGAACTGGAAAATCATACAACTCGAAAAGTGTGAAAAGAACGAGAAGTACAAACACTAGAAAAAAGTGTGTGACAACTGGAAAGCTCGCATGTGTGTCTTTTCCCATTTAAACAAGAAAAAAACAAGTTGTTGATTTGTCACATGATTGACTTTTGCAGTGTTCGTGCGTTTTGTTTTCGAATGTTCTCGTTTATTGTTGTGTGTTGGCTTTTTGGAGCTCATGGGAAAAGACCTAATTTTGCGATGACAAGCAGTTGATCTGTCCTCTGATTCAAGCTGGGGTAGAAGCTGAGAGGAGAGCCCTGCATGTCAGAAAGCACCCACACGCAAGCCACTGCAAAATTTGGTGCCGAAGCCGGCGCAACTGGGGAACAGTGGTTCCCCTGCAAGTTCTTAGAGTGGGCGGTTCATTTACTTGTAAAACTCGGCTCGGTTGGCTTGGGGTTGGTTCAGGGTCGGTTGCGAGCTGGTTTGGGCTATGGTTGGGCTTAGGTGGGCTTGGGGTGGTTTTGGGCAACAACTAAGGTGCATGGTGGTCAATGGAGACCAACCGAGAAACTGCGTAATTACAAAGCACTCGCGGTGATGCTGAGGGTGTCGCTGGTGATGCTGAGGATGTGGAAAGCCACAAAAGCCGCAAAACAACACAAGAAAACACTGCCACCCCAGCCCGGAGAAAAACAAAAAATGACAAACTAGACAAGGCTTTTATTGCATCTACCATCGTCAGAAGCGCTCGGGTCAAAGAGCAAATCAAATTTGGATGCGCTCATCATCAAGTCCGGACATTCTCAAATACTGGTGTAGATACATGTGGACGAGTGGGCAACTCAAATCAATCGGAGAGGTTCAATGGCAATCACTCGGGCATAGTTCCTTTTTTCTCGGCGGAACTGCATGGGGTGTCACATCTGGCATCAAACCTCTGAGTGCAAACGATCCTCCAAGGACCAAAAAGGAGGGCAGCGCGAGCAATCCTCCAAGAATGTATCTCCGCACCGCCCAACTCCCCGCACTGTTCTGCACACCCTATAAGCCAAACACCGGAGAACGCCTTGCACACAGCATGCAACACTAACCCACGTTCACTCAAGCTGAAACCAAGCACAAGAGGTTGACAAGGGCAAGTGATGCTGTTGATGTGAGGTGCAGTGTACCAAATTGTGGATCCATCGCGCGCATGCGTAAAACCCCAAACAGGTTTTACGGCAGAGACGCTGCCCATGCAATATGGCTACGTCTGGTTCCCAGAGTTTCGCCGTCTCTGTATGGAGTATTGCCAATACTTAATCTTATCTTCCAATACTTAGCTTACTATGGGCAATATGAAATTCAGTATTGGCTGCATTTGAATGAAGTTTTAGTGATTCAGGTTTTTGCGTCTATCCTTGAAAAGTTAGAGGCTACGGCTTTGATCTTGGAATTCCCTCCCCCCGCAACAAAAACCAAACTTGCCGTTAAAGAGGGTCCAGAAACAATCAAATAAAGAGGATCAGAGAACCTTGCGAACTGGCCTCTGAGCCCCAATGTTTATGGCTGCGCCGACAATCTTGGCTGAGTCTAGGTACTGTTGCTCTTTTTTGAGATGAGTAAGTTCTAAAAATAGAAATTCGGGAGATCAACCCACACCCGACATGTTCAGACTCATTTGCAAATATTTTCGTATGAGACTATAGTCAAAAATATGGCTGGAAAAAATCCTCCCCATTTGCGGAAGTAATACTGGGCAAATGAAACAAATACGGGGATGTGCGACAGATCAAAAAATGCAAAAACATGAACACTAGGAAAAGTTGAAAAACTCAAACAAATCGGCCGGCAAAATGAATAAGTTCCAGCACGAGAGTGCGACTCGGGAAAAAAAGTGCTTCGGCAAGATTCGACAAAATCTAAAGCTTTGAAAACCGCAAAATGAAAGGTTCCCACGAAACGCGAAAACTCGAAAAACAGCACAAAAACAACAACGGCAAAAAGCAAGGATTTCGTGAAAAATAAACGTATGTGAACAATTCAAAAAGCGTGAAAACTAAAAATATGAGAAAACTCCAAAGAGTGCGAAAATAAAAACAAACAAAAAATAAAATCACGCAAACACTGGAAAAATACATGTAAACGTCAAAACACGTGTGTGTGTGTGTGTGTGTGTGTGTGTGTGTGTGTGTGTGTGTGTGTGTGTGTGTGTGTGTGTGTGTGTGTGTGTGTGTGTGTGTGTGTGTGTGTGTGTGTGTGTGTGTGTGTGTGTGTGTGTGTGTGTGTGTGTGTGTGTGTGTCTCTTGTTTGTTGAGTTCTCTCGTTTGTGCGTGTTTCACTATTTTCATTCTTGGTTTTGTGGGTGCATTTGTTTGTCGTTGGTTTAGTTCTCGTGTTCATTGCCAAAAATGCGCAGAACAACGTCGCCAACACAATTGCTCAGTTTGTTTCGGTCCGCTCTCTGTGAGCAAATGCGATATAGTACTGCATTGAGTTGGGCAGTGCACAAACAAACATCACTTATTTTGCTGGTGCAGCTACCTTACAAACAAATGATCCCAAGGATAGAGCTCAAAAAGGCAACAGACTAGGTCACAGTTTTGCCGCACAATCTGGGGCTGCGACCCCGCGCTGCGCTGCGAGCCCATCAAAGAGGTCAAACTCAGCACAATCCAGCACTTGATAGTAAGTTCTCAGAAACACAAGTGAGAAACCCAGAGACATCGCCCACTGCCAATTTCAACAGCCCAAACTGAGGATTTCAGAAGAAAATACATTGCAGCCAAAGCTCAGCTCAACGTACTGCACCGTGAACACGATCTCGGCCGCACAAAGAAAACGAGGGCCATCGATCAAAAGCATCAACCCAAAGCATGGTTGGATCTGTTTCAACTAAGCATCTCAAAATCCCCTCATGGCAAAAGTTGCTCCAACATATCTTCTCATTTTGCCTCCTGACAACAAGCAGGCGATGACAAACTTGAGCTACAGCGATGCTTAAGGGCCACGGAGTCTGAGGCTGAGGCAGACTGTCCGTCCATCTTTCTTGCTCCGTATCTAACTCCCACCGGTGTGGCACGCACTGAGCCAAGATGCCACGATCAGTCCCCCTCGGACAAAGTTTCCGTAATCGCTGCACTTCGATCCCTTTCAATGTTCAACTCTCGGGCCTTTTTCACTCACTTCTGGCTCCTGGCCGCGATCCGCTGCCCAGCAGCCACTTCCTGGATGTCGAAAGCCATAATAGCAATCACATGGCAATGGCTTCTCCCTATAGACTAGAAAAAGTGGGGAAAGCGCAAATCGCCGAATCACCCGGAGTCTGGGGCAGCGGCAACTGCCTCACTGCGTCCTCCGCGTTGTCCACTTGCAAAGCCCATCGCGCAATGCTGCCCAACACCAAGGTGAGGGCTGCTGCACCAATGCCTCCACGGGACCCTTGGGAGGACATCACTTACATGTTCCCCATTCAAATCCATAGCCAAAGTTGTTTGAGTTGAAAGCGACAGTGCCGTTTTCAGGGAGTTTTCGACCCTCTCAGTGCTAAAAGCAAGACTCATGGAAAAAACTGCATGCCCCTGTTTTGCCAAGCCATCAACAAAATGCTGCAATGCAGGCGCCTGGAACCACGAAGAGGTACATGATCTCGCCCTTTGAGAGAAAGTCGGTGGCCCTGGGCACCCGAGCGCCAGTCGCAGAGGCCGCGGCCGAGGCCGCCGAGGCCGCCGAGGCCGCCGAGGCCGCCGAGGCCGCCGAGGCAGGGATCGCAGGCGATGGGGCGGAGGAAGCTGCCTGACGCGACAATTGGAGAACAACCTGCACGTGTGTCTGGAAATCGGATCCCACATGTCTGGTTTCCCCGGCTTCCTTTTGAAACACCAACAAAGCTCCTGCAATCGGGCCATCTGCCGAGCGCTGCGGCGGTAAGATGCCGCACCCAAGAGTGTGGCGAACAGGCCGCACAGCAAAGCGGCCGGAGCGGCCACAATACCCAGGGACGTGGTCCCGGGGCCCACCTTGGAACGGATGTCACCAAAACCCAGTCTTTGTTTGGCAATGCCAAACAAGCAGGACCTGGCCTGCGGTTTCACAGCATCGCGCAAGTGCGCGTCAACAACCGCGATCCAGTTAGCAATCCTCCATGCCCCTCAGTCTGGTGTGGCGCCCCCATGGTCTTGCACAAACAAATCACTTGACATACTCCGCTCACATCTCCTCTCAGTTGTTTTTGCTGGCGCGGCGCCATTGCTTTCCGACATGTTGAGGCACACTTTGATCGATCAGGATCAAGCCCTCCGTCAAACCACATGCTCAATGTTCTGTACATGTGTTTGGATTCATCAATGCACTCCATCGCAAGCCTTGACACAAAACCGTTCACTAACAGATCAAAAACAAGAGAAGGTTTATGCGGACTCAGCGATATGGATACGGCTCTTGGCCTCAGCAATCACATGGAGCTGATAGCTTCAGCTGTTGCAATCCTTGCCGATCAACCGTGGGAACTCGGTGTGAACAAAGCACGCTTTCCACACCGCAAACATGCGTTTCTGATCTTCCGCCTTCTTCATCTGCCTTCCTGAGATGTACGCCGCGGTACTGCGGTCCCATGATGGCATGTGTGATTCAAGAAGGCCTAGTGCAACAAAATGACACTTTAGTCAGTACTTTGTTGGTGCCAAACACTCCGTCCATCTAATCCAAGTTGAAAGGTGTTAAAACGCAATACTGCATTTGTTCCGCATCAAGCAATTCATGATTCATGTCCATGACTTGCAAACCGTTCAGTTTTGTGAACTGATCCGATCCACACTCACAGCGTTCGAGACTTGAACTATCAACCCGTGCAAAGCACCCTTTCGGTCTTGCAGGACCAACATGTTTCTCGCGTGTCCTGCATAGGATGGCTCAGCGCTGACACAATAGCCTGCGCAACATTTGAGCGCCACAAGTTCCAATGAAATTGGTAATGTTGTAAATGGCCAAAATAAAGCTTGCAAAGCGCCAACCCTCCAGGTTTCCTTGTACATTTCATGCTTGCGTTGACTGCACGATGGACGCGCTACGTTCTTTGTTTCCTCTCTTACCAGCTGCTCATGAACTCCCAACTCAGGGAGGTAGTTTTGGAAAGTTGTTTGGATTCACGCTTAGGACGCGGCTCCAGCGCCTTCAATCGCGTCATGGCTTTCCAAATGAGGGACACGCGCACTGACGCGCCAAACGCCTCTACGCTTGAGGGAACCTTTCAGGGCATTGCCAAGCTAAGAAAAACAGTGGTTTCGCGACGGGGTAATTTTGCGGGGCAACCAATTTTAGCTTTGATGTAGCGTCCTCTAACCACAGTAGAAAATGTTGCTGCCATAAAGGGCAAGTGACCCAATGTAACGTTTATTAGCTTTTAGACTGTTTTGTTTGACCCGTGGTTGTAAGAAACATGTGTTGCTCCAAGTAACGAGCGCACCTCTTTTGACCAGGTTGCACAGGCGTTGCGAGTTGAGCAAGGCGGCGGTTCAACCCTCGTCAAACTGAATCAACCGGCAAGTGAAATCCTTCACAAATCGTTGCATGGCGGCACCAAGGATGGATCCCGATATTTGGGGAGGTGTTAATGGAGGGCGTGGTGGTGCGGTTCAGAAGAAATAAAGAAAAAAACTGATGCACAGCGGCGCGGGTCTTAAAGAACAAGAAAGCAAACATGGCGGCGCGAAAGTGAAGGGCGGCCGCGTGAGTTTCAGAAACTGAGAAGCGGGAGCCGCCTTTTCTTTCAAACCAAAATGAGCCTCCGAATGCACGAGCTTCAGACTTCATGTGTCCACGTCGGCGACGACCTGGTGTGGTGGGGTCTGCCAGCTCCACATGTGCTGCCTCCGCTGCTTGAAAGCAGCGGCTGCTCCTGGATTTGCAGCTCATCGAAGAGGGTCGGCGTGATGGCCACATCCATCGAAAGAAATTGTTGGCCCAGGCAGCAGACTTGAAGATGAGCGGCATCGAGGACGGCGCGGAGGCGGCAATGCGCGACCAACGAGTTATTGCTGGGGATTGGTAGCTGGTGGAAACGAAGACTCCTCGCTCTCGACGGCGCATCGTGGGTTTCAGCGAGGGTCTGTATACAATCCGAGTGCGGACGAAGTGAGCGAGGCCGTCGAGCAGTGAGCACGCGATTACCGGGCAAGCAGATGGACGCGACTGCTTTTCCACAAGGGTCTTCTTCCAAAATTTCAGCAAAAGCAGGTCAACTTCCTTCTGGTGCCGCTCGAAATCTCAGGAATCAGCGGAGCTGACCAGTCCCACAATCGACTGTAAATGGAATACATTCCAAGTGTCTAGAATATTGGGGAATACTGGGCCCTTTGCAATTCTGGAGCTGCTTCAATTCAATTTGAAGGAACGACCTTCTACAGCAGTGTTGTTCCCAACACCAAAGCTTAAAAACTGGTGGCTGATGCCGGGAAACACTCTTCTACCCTTGGCGGTTCGCAATTTAGCAACATTTCGCACTGCAGCCCTTGTTCAAGGCACGCTTCGCCACGCCTTTTGCGGATCATTTGGGTCTTCCTCTCAATTGGGCTAAGACGCACCGCCCGGACTTCCCGACTCTCAACCAAAAAACACGCCCGTTTCAACAGCAGAAACTTTCAACGAGAGGGGCCGCCTGAATTTTCACGCCTGGCGCGGAGCGCAGAAGTAGACTGTTTGGCCGCTCGAATCCGCCTACTCTTTTTTTGAACAATTTGCTGCCAAGCTTCAAACAAAAAAAATACATTCACTCGAAATGAAGAGAGGAGGCAAGGGCTTCAATTCTCTCCCAGGCCTGCTTTTGCGATGTTGTAGAAAAAATGCTTCACTGAACGCAGGGCCTTCTATAAACTTAAGTTCCACTTGTAGATCGAACAAAGTGGTCCACCACATTCACAATCAATCTCAGGCCTGCTTTCAGCATGACCAAGAAACGAGCAAAAAAGAACCCATCGCAATAGAAACGGCCTCAGGGAAAGTTGAGCACTGCAGCGTTGTCAGTCAGGCAAACAACTGACCGCTTCGACGACGAGTCAGACTTTGCGCGCTCCGGCATTCCATTTGTCCAAGATCGCCTGCTCCAAATGCTGCTTCCACATCTCCCTCCCACACTCACAATACCTCTTGTCCCACCACGTGGAACGCTGAGTTCCATCTGCACTTCTTAGCCACAGTCTATTTCGATCTGTCTGTCTGACAACCACCTCCGTCGATCAATCGATCAGTCTGTTGTTGTTTTCTCTCTCTCTCTCTCTCTCGCTCTCTCTCCCCGTCCATCTACCTCCACCTACCTGCACCTACCTGCACATCTATCATCAAAAACACAAGTTTGGGGTTAAGATGTGGGGGGGTTCAGATTGCTTAAAGTAGCGAGACGTGTCGCGCCATTCTAAGCTATTTTGGGCGAAGTTTGGGCATGGCTGATGGTAACGTCGCTGTCTGGGGCTGGGTGCCTTCCAAAGCCGCCCAAACATGTGAAACTTGCCTGGACCTTCCATTGATACCTTTTTTTGCTCGCTTCTTTTTCTGCTCGAACACACTGTTTGTGCCCGATTCTTCAATTTCTGCCCGAGCAATGGTAAAGTGCCCGAGGCTTACATTTTCAATTGGGCACTTTTCAAATTTGCGCTCGTTTGCGGGTTTTTGCGCTCGTTTTGCAGGCCGTTGCGGGCGTTTTTGCACACAATTTCTGCTCGAGTAGGTCATATAGTAGGACCTGATAGCCCTCATGCCTCCAAAAACTGCTCGAGGTCCAAAAAAGAGGACAAGCCCAAAGAAAAAGGTACGAATTCCAAAAACCAGCCGATTGACAGGGGAGGCAGAAATTTTAGGTACGTTTGAAGGTCCAGGTGTGAAACTTAGCCAGAGCTCATCCTGAAACTCTTTGGTATTTGCGTGAAACTTGTGAAACTCGTTAGAACAACATGTGAAACTTGTGAAACTTGTCAAACGTTGCTCTGTCAGGGTCTGGGCAGCGCTTCGCAACATGTTTGCCTGACCCAAACGGAAGGGCTTTGCCCCTTGTGGTACAATTTGTGGCTGGTTTACTTGCACAAGCAACATCTACCCAAGCTGGCTGTAATTCACTGCAACCAATGATTCGAGGATTCGGTGCCATCCAAACCAAAGAGCCTTCATTGTTTACAAGCGCAAAAAATATGTTTTTTTGCAAGTTTCAAGAATGGCGTATTTTAGTTTTTTCCACCCTTTGTTTGCAGTTCTTGGCACCTTCTGTGCCGCAGTGCGTTGCATTCTTTGCTTACTCCACGGAGAGGGGGTCATGGCAGACCCACGCAGAGCTGAGCACCAGACAGTGCACGCAAACAAGCACAGCGCAACATGTTACAAAATATACACACTGCTGCAACCACACCCCAGTCGACAAGGGCCCGCTCCTTTCTGGTCAGGTTGCAGTTTCAGCTGACGGTCTCGTTCAGCTGGAAAGGCAAGGTGAACCCCCCTGGTAAAATAAAGGTGCATTCACCACTCAGTTGGTTCAGACTGCGCGAATTGCGCGAAACACTTTATGCAACAGGAGCCTGTCCTGCGCAATGAAGACACTGCACAAAAGGCGCAAAGCAGCCGTCAGCGCGCGCTGCCAGCAGCAAATTGCAGGTAGCGCAACGCAGCTGCACGCCGGCCGCGCCAGTCGCGCAACTAGCACCAATTGCGCAACTGTTCGCCGCAAACGCAAGTTGCAGCTGCGCAAGGTCGCAACTCCAACAAACACAAACCGCAGGCAGCGCAACGCAGCTGCAGCAGTTAAGCAATTTGTCGTGGCTCTCTCTTTAGAGGGGATTATCCAAACGCGTGTTGATGCAGCTGAGAGGCTTCAGACACTCGTCCGTCCAGGAAACGACCTTGTCCTGCGAAGGATCCGAAAGCTAAAGTGCTGCAGAGAGCCCCGTGCCTGCACTATATCGACCCCTAGACATGCGGAGCCAATTTGCCCGTAGCTGCGATTGCAAGGCAGGCCAAAAAAAGCAAGGAAAAAAAGAAGAAGAAAAAAAAAGGTTCCGGGAGAAAGGGTTCCAAAAACAAGGTTTCCTTGAGCCTGCCTTGCACAAACGCAGCTACGGGGCTGGACGGACAAGCGTCAGAAGCCTCTCAGCTGCATCAAAACCCGTTCGGATAATCCTCCAAACAAAAAGGTTGCGTTTTTCAATATTGGAGCCGGCCGCAGATCACTCCACACCCTCTCTCTTTAGAGGGAGTTTCCCAAACGGATTCTATTCCACCTGGTAGGCTCCTGACACTCGTCCGTCCAGGAAACGACTCGTCCTGCGAAGGATTCGAAA